ATACTTCATATTTACTTACTTGTACAACGATCTTGTCTCTAGGCAGGCGTTAGCAATCCACCCATACGGCTAATGATTCTGTAGGATATTCAAAAGACATTTTCAGCATAATTATTGTTGCACAGTGTACATGCTTTTGTCTCAAGCACAAGTGTTGTAACTTAAGATATTAACAATGTTCAACTCCATGCCTGTTCTTGCGGTCTTCTCTCGGCTGTCCCTCACCTTCCCATTTCTCTGAGGTCCGGGAATTCTTGGAGATCTGGGATTGGACTGAGGAACAGTTTTGGCCCAAGACGGACGCAACAACCCACATGGACTTACCTGGAGCATGGTAGAACTCCGAAAGGACCGAACTGCAATTACCATAACCCTTGTCCAGTATGGAGAAATGGACATATCCTCATACTCCCAAAAATTATACATCTGTAAAACCTGGACAGCGGAGAAGTTGAACTTTTGCTCAACTGGACATACAATAAGATGAATAATCACGAGGTCCCTCTCCTCCACCGATCTCAAAAATAATGGCGACCACCATCAAATTACCTGTCCAACTAGCAGAGGAAATTGGAAGCCATTACTCTGCGAAAATCCGAAGGTAAAACCAGTCGTCAAGCGGCTTTGCCAGTTCAACATTAATGTTCAAAATACTTTACGGCAGTGTTGCAGGACGTGGTGGGTTTTCGCCTGGCAAGCGTTCTCCCTATAAAAAGCCACAAATGTCTGTTTAACAACACTGCGACGTGGCGGATGTGACTCGCCACTGAATAAAGTCACAGCCCACAACTACAAACTGGCAAGTCGACTAGACTCACATATCAACTCTTCCCGACACTGTTTCAACTACACACGTTTGAACCCAATGTATCGTCGTGATACACGTCGGTTTTTAAACCTTGATCATGCCTGCGTTGGTGTGTCTCTATGAAACTGAGAATAAATTATTTATTTATGTATTTATTTATATAATAACACACTGACGTACCATTCCCGTTAGGTTCAACCTTTTTACTTAATTCATCAAAAGATTGGCCATGTGCAATGCAACTTCTGGTAGGCGTCGCTGCACTTCTGCCTTCCATCCGGTTAGTACGTATGTTTTCATAAGCCCCGGTAAATTCAGTATGGCTGAGGGGTAACAGGAACTATAAATATACTCACTCTCATCACTAGCCTGTGGGGTAAATACACCCCGTCGAGGTGATTCTTTCATGGATAGAAGCTTGATATTCCGTAACGCAGTGGAATCCACCGATGCACTTCCTGCCGAACGTACATTAGACGACCCACAGTGGTTTAAGATGTGCGTAATGAAGCTTCTTCCGCGATGTTGCGGTTTGCCTTCAAATTGAAGGGTACTAATGTTAGCGTTCAGCCAGACCTCCCATTAGCGGATAGGCTGAAGCTAAACAAGGCCATTAAGGACCTCAAAATCAGGCGAGCGGCCGGTGAACAAGGTCGCCGGTTGGTGGGTTTTCGGGTGGTCAGCCGGCGGTCTGCTTCCGCCCTACCAGTGCCAGTACTGGTAGCGCACGACCCAGGACTGGACATTACGACTACCTTCAGATAGTGCTAAGCAATGTGCGGAGCCTAAGGCATAAGATGTGCGAGATAGGTCTGCTTGTAGATGGGTCTCATCCCGATATACTTGCATTCACTGAAACGTGGCTCTCTCGGGACATCACGGACGCTGAAGTACATCTGTCTGGCTACGCACTATTTAGATGTGATCGCTTCGTTGGCCGACAAGGTGGAGGCGTTGCTATTTACGTTAGGTGTGAACTTGACGTTTCACGCACCTACATGTTTCAGTCGGCAGATAAAACTGTCGAAGCGCTGTCGGTAGTGATTAACACTTCCTCAGCTCAACTTACAGTCGTACTTGTGTATAGCAACCCTGAGAGTGCGTCCAAAGAGTTGCTTGACTTTATTCGCTCCCAATCCGCAAACAGATGTTTGATACTCGGGGATTTCAATCTACCAGAAGTTTGCTGGGCGGATTTTTCTTGCAACTCGGCAGAAGGTACTTCCGGGGCATATCTACTGGAGCTTACGCTACAAGTACCGTTGCATCAGTTCGTGGACCTCCCACTAGGTACGCGGACGCCCAACCCCCGTCTATCCTGGATCTAGTGTTTGCCAAGTCAATAGACTTCGTAGTGGACATCATTTACAGCTCTCCCTTAGGTACTAGTGATCATGTTTGTTTATCGTTCAGGTGTACTCTGACCAGGCGTCACCAGAGCATTGCTAAGCCATTTCCAAATATATGGCATGCTATCAGGCAATGCATATCAAGGCTGCTGGGATGCGTTGCGAAACCTCGATGGTTGATACGGTGCAGGCGGCCTGGGATAAATGTAAATCTTATCTCACAGAAGTGTCTTCTCCCTACATCCCGCTTGCGAGGAGAAAGGAGACACGAGCGCGGCCGCCGTGGATAGTTACAACTGACATTACCTGCTCCAGAATCGTTCTAGGTGCTGGAGGACCTACCGTGCGGCTCCATCAACTAGCACCTATGATAGATACCGCAAGGCTAGAAATAGGTATAAACAACACTTAAGGAAAGCTCGGCTGGTGTACGAAAAGGAATTGGCTCATGGAGCTTCGGAAAACCCGAAGAAGTTCTCTGCTTATGTTAACAGACGCTGTGGTTCAACTTCGGTAATCCCAACTTTCATGCGGGCCGATGGAACTTGTGCGTATGCGGACTCAGATAAGGCTCGTGTACTTGGGGAACAGTATGCAGGGGCTTTTGTACGTGATTCCGCGTTGACTAGCCTTGAACTTGTCCCCAGAGTACCAGAGGGTTCTTATTTAGCTGAGTTTATTGTGGTGGAAACGCAAGCCCTTAAACTGCTGCAATAAATGAACCCTTCCAAAGCAGCTGGACCTGATTCAATTCACCCGAAGCTTTTGCATGAGTTGGCAGTGGAACTGAGTGGACCGCTGACTATGGTGTTTCAGAAATCACGTGACAGCTGTACATTACCTTCTGAATGGAAGGAGATTACCATCTGTCCTATCTTCAAAAATGGTGACAGAAGTCTGTCAGCCAATTATAGGCCAGTCAGTCTGACTAGCGTCGTGGTCAAACTGCTTGAAAAGCTGGTGAGAGATTCGTTGGAATGTCACCTGAATAGATTTAGTCTACTCAATAGTGCACAACATGGATTCCGGAAGGGGTTTTCGTGTTTGCCGAATTTGTTGGTGGCTCGCGAAGCTTGGGCCGAGGCAGTGGACAATGGCAACGTGGTGGATGGCCTTTTCGTAGACTTCTCGAAAGCATTTGATAAGGTACCCCACTTGAGGCTATCACATAAGCTCTTTACTGGGTATCTGCGTTCTTGCAGGGAAGAGAGCAGTGTGTACGTGTGGGTCGCAGCCTATCTTTAGGCAAGCGGTCCTTAGCGTTGTCCCACAGGGCTCGGTCCTTGGACTGATGCTGTTCTCCGTCTACGTAAACGATCTCCCTGGAGAGCTTGGGGTATCATCCCTATTGTTTGCTGATGACCTTAAGCTATGGAATGGTGTAAATGTTCCTGGGGGTTCTGAGGCCATACAGCATGCACTGGACAGACTCTGGGACTGGTCTACTTTGTGGCTACTGCCCATAAATCAGGCTAAGTGTTCCGTCCTTCGTATAGGAGCAACTTTCCTGCCTTCAAGCTACGTACTCGGTGGGGTCGAACTCCCCTTGTCTCTAACCAGGTAGACCTAGGTGTCGTCCATTCCTCGTCTTTGCATTCTGGTGACAACTGGAAGAAGGCTGCTAGTAGGGGTTTCAGAATGTTGTGGTTAATACGCCGTTCTTTCGGGGTCTTACCTGCCGACATATTTGTGAAACTGTTCTCAGCTTTCGTCCGGCCCCATCTGGAATACTGCGTCCAGGCTTGGCCGCCCTGCCTTGTTCGGGACAAAATGGAGCTTGAGAGGGTTTTGAGAGTAGGTACCAAATTGGTCGAGGGGTTACGGGATCAGTCGTTCCCCGAGCGTCTACTTAGCTTGGGTATGTATTCAATGCACTACCGGCGGCTTCGAGGAGACCTAATCCTTCCTTACCGCATTTTAACTGGGAAGGTTGGATCGGACTTGTGCTATCGGACTGCACTAGCAGTCCGCGGGCAGTAATTGGTTGATCAGGGTGTTTCGGGTGTTTCGTTTAAGATCTATCAAGAACTACCACCTTATCATTTCCTGGCTCGACGATTTGCTCAAGAAGGAACACTCAAGGGATTTTCCTATCGTTCCAGTCCATCTGAATCTGAATCTGATGAAATGGCGACATCGTGATAATCGCTAGTCAGTTAATTGACGGGGTTGTTCACTTGACACAGAATTTCCAGTGAAATTTCTCTTCGAATGCATACTCCAACCTTTTCAGACGAAGGACAATCGTTGAGCATTGTTACGTATACCAAATTCGACTTTTTATGCGTACTGTAAACGGCCAAACTTATCCATCGAACTGGAAGCATACACTATAAGTTGCCACCCTAGCATGGATCCATAGCAAGCACACAAGTCGCTGGGAAAAACCGCACTCACCAATTATGAAGGAGCTCGTACTGTGCAGAAATGACAAAGTGGAATAGTGGCAAACATTGATCGAGGAACAGAAGGGTACGAAATACAGAAAAAAATGCCTGCAGAACAAACAAAAAGGAATAACCATGTTAAACCAGGTAAAACTGGGATTAGCGATACTCGTCCATAAAAAACGAGCAGCCAAAAGCGAAGGCTCTCTGCTCCGGACCACTGTATTCAACCTAAGTTCCGTGAATCTAGGCAAAGCTACTCAGGTCAAATTGTGCCCGGGTTTACACAAAATTTGCTTTTTAATGCAATCAATATAAAATGCTCACTTCCATAAATTCACTTGACAGCGCTTTTTTTATTTGTGTTATAATAGCTAATGCATGTAATACATCAGTGTACTACGTTTATCTTCGCCAACATTCATGACCTAGACTGCTCATGTCCTCAAACACGACCCTGGAAAATGTTTTGAAACTTTCCCTTGGTGAGATTTTTTCGCACTTTGTCATACCGCTCTTTGATACCAATTATGCAGCCTCAAGTTTTCGTAACTATCGAGGAGTTTTGCCTGTCCACGAGATTTATTAGTATAATCTAATCGCATTTGTTTGCAATATACGGACCACGCTTATTCAAGCTCGACGTCTGGCATATTTTTCATTGGGTTAAGTTTGGAGTAGTGTGTGAACAGGTTTTCTCTAAGTTTCGTGCTTAAATGGTTACCTTCCCTTTGTTCTAATAGATTTTAGTTTGATACGCGGCATCATACTACATTTGGTACCTATCCGTGTATAGATAAACTTAAAGCGGTCACATCTCTCAAAAGTAGTGTAATGCACGTTCTGTAATGGGTGGTTGCATGCTACTTGCTGTTTCATCCTCCCAGAACTAAAGGAATATTTCCACCTGTCTACTTCAACCACTCTATTTTGGAACCGCGATCAAAACTGTGAAATCGAGACTTATTTTAAACGACGAAACTGCACTCAAGTCGTGTTCCACTTTTAGCTCGTAGATCGTGCGCTATATATCCGGTACGCGACTAGACGACCAACCAAAAGTAGTGGGTAGAAGACACAAAAGTAAACTAGGGAAGAAGTTTATTGGACGGGAGGAGCGTTAGCTAATGCTAAAATAGGGCACCCGGAGAGAGCTAGCTAGGGAGAATGTCGTTGGCGTCGAGAGCGTAGACGAAGCGTCGTTCGCAGTCGAGCCGCGCGCCAAAGGCGGAGATCGTTTTCGTGTTTCCAACAAACGGGAACAACGTTCCAACAGGCAAACCGAATAGTTCCCTAATACATAAGAAAGCTATAGTTTGAATATTTTAGAATAGTTTACACAGTCATACGGGGGAATCTCCAGGTCGCTACACAGCCCCTCACCTAGAAGGGAAACCGTGGGTGACCCTTCGATCTACGTGAGGACTGTCCGTCGCGGGCCAGCCTTCTGCGAGACCAGGTAGTGAAACCTGATGCAGCTGCTGGGGGAGAACCAGGCGATCGGACCCTAGCGGGCTCCCACCCGTGTCCAACCTAACGGTGCCAAAAACAAAAAATGGGGGAAGTTCGTAAGCGTTAAATGTTCGCCAGTTCGTGAAGGTCAAATGTTCGCTTCAGACTCGGCATCTCCTCCGGTTCATACATGGAAGATAAACAGAAACAAGGGTAGTGACGGTGAAGGCGAGGGCAAAAGTAAGAGTGACACTTACCGGATGAGGTAGGCGTCAGCCAAAACGCAGCTCTTTTGTGTTTTCAAAACGTTTTGTTCTTTTTTGGGTTTTCAAAACATTTTGCGTTCTTTTTTGGTTTTCAAAAAAAACTTTGTCGGTTTTTTTGTCGTTTTCAAAAGCTTTGGGGGGTTTCGTACGTTGTTGGCCAAAAGGGAAAAGAAAAGCAATAAGAAAAGTGAAAGGAACGCTAATCCCTTAATCGAGCTGGCCAATGAACGCGTCTACCCGACCTAGTCGATTTGTTCGAATCAGAGGAAGGCGTCGTCTTAGACGTCCTATCGGATCGCAAAATTGGAGGAACTGCTGAAGAAGTAGCGGTTGGTTCGATGGGAAGCGGCGGAGCTGAAGTGGAAGGCTTGGTTGGAACGTGATGCTTGGGTTTAGGGATGTTGGAAGCATGCGAGTCTTCCATCATAGGCTGGGTTGATTCTTCAGAAGACGAGCAAGGGTCTTCATCGAGCTCAGGTTCCACGTGGGCAACCTTGAGACGGTCAATCGTAACGGCTTCTCGTTTACCGTGACGGTCGATGATAAAAACGCGGTCCTTACGCTGCAGGACCTTGAAAGGACCTTCGTAAGGTCGCTCCAGTGGTCTGCGGAGACCATCGAGGCGGAGAAAAACGAACGGACAGTGCTGCAGGTCTTGTGGAATAAAAGATTTACGTTGTTGTTCTCTAACGTCGGGAAGCTTGTACTGACGCATGCTCGTGGCTAGCTGACGTGCATAATTTGCGTCGTAACGGGTAATTCTGGGACTAACGGAGAAGAAATCGCCAGGTAAACGCAGTGGTTGTCCATATACTAACTCGGCGCTAGACGTACGCAGATCGGCCTTTAGGGCTGATCGGATCCCAAGGAGGATCATAGGCAGTACTTCAGTCCAACTCAGCGCATTGGCGGCGCTAAGTGAGGCTTTCAACTGTCGGTGGAAACGTTCCACCATGCCGTTCGCTTGTGGATGATAGGCGGTCGTGCGAATGCGTTGGCATCCAATGAGTTTAAGGAGATCGTTAAAGGTCGTAGATTCGAATTGCGGACCGCGGTCTGTAGTCACTGTGGCTGGACAGCCGTGTGAAGCGACCCAGCGCTCGACAAAAGCGCGTGTTACGGTTTCCGCAGCTACGTCAGGGATGGGAACGGCTTCGGGCCAACGGGTGCAACGATCGATCATGGTCAAAATGTAGACCATTCCTTTGGACGGGGCCAGAGGTCCCACTATGTCGAGATGGACATGGGCAAATCGCGCTGAAACGGGCGGAAAGCGACCAAGCGGAGCGGACACGTGCCGCTGAATCTTGGCTTGCTGGCAGGTGAGACAGCTGCGTGCCCAACGCGTAAGATCGCGTTGCATCCCCGGCCAAACGTATCTCTCAGAGACAAGCTTAGCAGTAGCTTTAACGCCTGGGTGGGCGATATTGTGGAGGGTGTCGAAAACGATACGGCGAAAAGTTTCTGGAACGACGGGTCGAGGTCGTCCGGTAGATGTGTCGCATAAAATGGTACCATCAGATGACGGCAAAGGGTGCGGGGATATCTTCAAAGAAGAATCGCGAAGTTCCGAAAAGGTTTGGTCGTTTGATTGCGCGGCGGCCATAGCAGACAAATCGATTGCCTGCCCGGCAGGGCCAATCGCAGATACTCTTGAAAGAGCATCAGCGACGACGTTTTGTTGACCAGAAATGTGTCGGATATCAGTCGAGAATTGGGCAATGAAATCCAGCTGACGAATCTCACGTGGTGAGTGTCGAGCTGATTGATTTCGGAATGCGTAGATAAGCGGCTTGTGATCGGTGAAGATAATGAAGGTGTTACCTTCAAGGACGTGTCGGAAATGTCGAACGGTAGAGTAAACGGCTAGCAGTTCGCGACTGAACGTGCTGTACTTAACTTCGGCAGGTTGTAGGCGTCTAGAGTAGAAAGCAAGAGGTTTCCAGCCTCCATTTGTATGTTGCTGTAGGACAGCGCCAATGGCGGTGTCCGATGCGTCGACAGCAACACTGAGCGGAGCGTTCGGATCGAAGTGATGAAGCATAACGGCTTTAGCTAAGGCTTCTTTGCTGGCCTTGAACGCTTCGGCAGCAGCAGCAGTCAATTCCACCTGGCCGTTTTTACGTCCACGAAGTAGGTCGGTTAGTGGACTTAGCAAATTGGCACAGTGTGGAAGAAAACGTCGATAATAGTTGAGCATGCCGTTAAAACGGCGAATAGCGGCTAACGTAGTCGGAACCGGAAAGTCTCTGATGGCGCGGACTCTATGGTCTAGAGGCCGTATACCATACTGATCAATATAGTGGCCAAGGAATTCGACGGAAGGCTGCTGAAATACGCATTTGTCAGGGTTGACAGTGATGCTATTAGCGGCCAGCCTATCGAAAAGTATTTTGAGATGTTCTGCGTGCTGTTCTTTAGACGCGCTGGCAACTAGGATATCGTCGATGTATGCATAGACGAAATTTAGACCTCTAGTGACTGAATCGATGAGTCGTTGAAAAGTCTGGGCTGCGTTGCGAAGACCGAACGGCATACGCAAAAATTCGAACAGCCCGAACGGCGTGATTACAGCAGTCTTCGGGATGTCTTCCTCAGCGACTGGAATCTGGTGATACGCGCGAACCAGATCGATTTTCGAGAACACACGGGTGCCGCGCAGGCTTGCCGTGATGTCCTGAATGTGAGGAATCGGATATCGGTCGGGAACAGTAACGCTATTGAGCGCGCAGTAATCACCACATGGACGCCAGTCTCCTGACATTTTGGGCACCATGTGGAGCGGCGACGCCCAGGGACTTTTAGACGGGCGAACGATGCCTAGTTCAAGCATGTGCTCGAATTCTGCGCGAGCAATTTTCAACTTGTCAGGGGTCATTCGCCTGGCTTTGGCAAAAACAGGCGGAGCTTTCGTAACGATGTGATGTTTCGCAGCATCAGTGGCGGATGAAAACGGTGCCATTGCACGAAAGACTTGCGGGAACTTGGTAATAAGCATCTGACCGATAGGCGAGCTTGACAGGTTGGCGTATACAGGACTGATTGACTCTATGTCGGTCAAAGTACCTATAACTGCTAGGTTTGTTTGACGATCGATCAGACGGCGTTGCTTCGCGTCAACAAGTAAATCGAAGTGCTGCAGAAAGTCAAGGCCAAGAATTGGCGTCTGGACATCTGCGACGAGGAAGATCCATTTAAATGAACGTCGTAGGTTTAAATTAAGCGTGCGCGAGCGTTGACCATACTCGCGAATGGTGGTGCCGTTTGCTGCGCGCAATGAACCGGTCGCCTCTTCGATATCATTAGAATCACGTGGGATAACGCTGACTTCTGCGCCGGTGTCAACGAGATAGCGTACTCCCGTACTGCGATCGGTGACAAAGAAAAGGCGACTGGGGCAGCCAGCAACGTCCGTCGCCCCTACGTGCTGGCCTACCCGTTTCCCTGCGTGTTGCGCTTGAAGGAACAAGGCGGGCGACACGATCTGGCCTGATGACCAAATCGCTCGTGGTACCAGCAATAGCTTGACCTAGGGGGAGATTTCGAACGTGATCTAGGAGGACTGCGACTACTGGAACGATTTCGGCGGTTGGATCCGGATTGTGTTAGCTTCTCTAGTCGGTTGGTCAATGCGGCTACTTGCGCTCTTAGTTCTGCTACCTCTGTACTGGAGGTAGACTGAACCTGAGATATTTGGGCGTTGGATTCCCAAATACGGTCGGCAATATCGGCGAGCTGAGGAAGAGGCGCATCGTTTGCATACAAGG